TATAAAATACATAAATTGTAGCATATGGGAAGATGATCCTTTTTTTCCCTGGAATTTCATAATATGTTCACTAGGACTTAATTTTTGAGTCATGGACATGCCTTAGTCTAATAGGAGCCTGAAGTTGTAATATGGTTTTCATAAGCTTAAAGAATGAATTCCTGTTGTAGAGAAATAGAACTTTGTAGTAACTCATACCATTGGTTTGGTATATCTGGGCCAATGCTTGCATTTCTTTGAGTGTTAAAGATTATAGTTCGAGTTGACAGCATTCTCTTTCAGCTAATTAAGGTATGATCTCTTATAGCTGAAAATCTCCTATTCGTTGAAAATTATGGATCTACTCATGCATTTTATCTACACGGTGGATTGGTATGCTTGGAAAAGAAAATACAGATACTATTGCTATTAGCCTATACTAAACAAAACAGGAATAAGTTCCCATCACTGGCAAAATAATGAATTTGCAACTTGAGGATTTGTTTTTGATATCAATGGTATAGTTTCATCTATTTTGCATCACCAGGAAAGCTTGAATAGATATGGGACGTGGAGTTAGCAGTGGTGGAGGACAAAGCTCATTGGGCTACTTGTTTGGGGATGGTGAGGCGCCAAAACCTGCCACAGAAACCAGAGCTCCTCCAAGTGAAGTTAGGCCGGCAAGCAAAGAGCTTCCCCAAAAGCCTAACGCTGCTGCTTATCAAAGTGCAGATGTTAGTAAACAGATTCCTGCAGGCATTCATAGTAGCACTGCAAACTACTTAAGAGCAGATGGTCAGAACACTGCCAATTTTATTACGGTATGTCTTTACTGAAACACGTTGCTGGTTTTAAAAATGTTTAATAGGTTCTCCCATCATATTTTTTAATTTTATACTACGCTTTCAGTAAACATCCACAAGTCAAAAGCTTGCATAATGAGTCTAAATCACATGATGCTTATCATTTTCTTACGAGTAAATTTAATGAACACTCATTGAACTTTAAACGTGTTACTACTTACCCACTCATCTTTAACGAATTACTCAATTTTCACTCATCTTTCCATGTAATTACCCATACACCATTCATTTAACTCTCATCTCTCCAAATGGATGGAAAAATAAACATAAATAAAAGGTGGCAAATACAAGTTAAATCTTGACAACCTGGAATTTCTTCTCAACCATTTTCACGACATTTCTCTCCTGAACCCACGGCATTTGAAATCAATTTTTCATCTTCAAAATTGGCCCCTGAAATCAGTGTGGCATTTTCTAGCGTCCATATTTCTGACAGGTGATAGTAGTATGAAGATATGGGCTAGTAGCATCATAGAGTGGGTGCACCTCCGGCCGTGTCATTGTATTCTGTTCGGACATTTTATCATCCAA